CGATGGCGGGTGTGGGTGGGGGTGGGGGAAGAAAGGAACATCCTTGACGAATTTGTATCTTCCAAGCGTGTTCAGGGAGTATTACCTTGAAGTAAGATGATGAAGGGCTAATATTTTCTGGTGGCTGCAAGATTTGACATTGTTAGTCCTTATTGCCAGGTGGCTTGGCATAAAGCTGAACTGTGTGATATTGCTACCCATGTTAACAAACACATTTCATTTTGTGTTTGGCCCAAAGTTCTCTAATAAAAGGTGTATCACTTGCTTTCTAGCTAAGACCAGCATGCAGCATCGTTTCTGTAGTCTATAGACTGTTATTGCAACAGTCATGAAATTGGAGACGAATGATCACATTCTGTCTCTTGCAAGGGCAATGGTTGCCGAGGTTGTATCAGAGGAAAGACTTTGATAGTAGGATGCATAAATCCAAGAGCTAAGACACAGTCAAGGAGCATGTGAAATGAGTGATATTTGTTATAAAACTTAAAGAAAAGTAATTATGTATGGAGGAATAGATTCAGCTGCAAATTAGAAAATCTATATAAAGCATTTTGAAGGAAAAGATGTCTGGATAAAGGTCTATACTAAATATCCCTGTAATTCAAGGAACTTTTTCTCCAGACTGGTTTGGAGAAGAAAACACATGAACAGTACAGGCAACAAACACAGAGGAGCTGGAGGTATCATAGGAAGATGTGTAACAGGTCTGGTGCTTCTTAGGAGAACGTCAGCCGCCTCTCTGAAAATATCTGATAGTTTGCCACTGTGCTTTTCGTAGGACTGTGTTTTCATCAACCAGATACAACGTCTTGACCAAGACCTTACTGAACAAGATGCTGGCACCTGTTGTTATAACGGATTTTATTTCCTAGGTGCCATCTGACTTTGTGGCCCGTGTCACCAAATAGATTCTGCCTTTTAGAACTGCTCCAGCTTAACAGCGTAGCTTTAATGCTTTCCTCAAGTATCGATTAGTCTGTACAGCCTGCTCAAATCTATGTCCAGGGCTGGCTGAAAGGGTTAATCTTTTCTAAGACCACAGCTGTAAGAACTGTTGAGGGCCCTACCCCTTTTCCTGATGGCTGCATCTCCATCTGTGATGAATTAGGGAATTCCCACAGGGCACCAAGGCTTTGAGGCTGCCTGTCTCTTGGAGTCATTTCGTTTTGGAAGTTATCTCTCTGAAGGAGCCTTTAAGAGTTCTTGTACTGGCAGAGAGGTGTTCTATTGGTTTCATTTGGAAACCTGAGCAAAGGGAGATCTCTGAGCACTTTTTAAACCTGTGCTGAATGTTTCTCTTCACAGGCTCTTGCTTTCCTCTTCT